GAACGATAATAGGCGATCGTCTCCCTTGCCGTCTGGACGGCCGAACGGTAACAATCAACGACATGTGGAAGCAGTTGAGTCAGAGATAGATGCTTCGTTTACAAAAAACACAACAGTTTATTAAACACGAAAGAAGTGTGAATACGGGGGCGTAAGTCTCCTGTTCACTTGTCAGGACGTCTAATTGACTCTCAAATGTCAGACGAGTGGATGGAGAGAATTTGGGGTCGTCGATAACGTGAAGGGCGTGATCGAGTAAAGGAGTCTACCATACTTTTTAAAACATAAAATAACAATTTATTAAAACAATCGAATTAATCAAAGACTACACAAATTCACAAATAGCCTTCCTAAACCGTTTTATATTCTCGAGAGAGTGTTTCCTGCGCTCATATCTCTTTATGGCGTTCCTTTATCGGTCTAATCCGGGGAGGCGCCTAAATGTTCAAATCTATCATCCACAGGAGCACAAATTTAAAAAGTTTGCGACNCATCAAATCTCAAGCAATAATCCAATAACAATTCTGAACATATCGTGTAATCAATAGTTGATCTTCCATTGTGAGTTAGACAAGTATATTCTGCAGGAATATCGTTCTTAAGCCGTCCATTAATTATATACATTTTGAGATTTTTTATTACTTCAATTAGCTTTTGACCGAGGTTATTTAAGTGCTTATCTTTTGATTGACGGATATTTTGTATTAAAAAGTTATTACCAGTATATTTAGAATCCATTTTCTCTGCAATTCTCGCATTGAAGTCGCCGACTAATATGTAGTAAGGAGTCGTATAATGCCAAAGTTCTATTTGTTTAGATATTTCATTCAATGTTGATATGTCTTCAGGTGGAATATATATGAGCATCAGATTTATAAGGTTATTCGTAGTGTTATTTAGAGTTGGTTTCATGAATTGAATGAGAAGGAGAATAAAATTGTTCGATTTTTTTGTCTGTAGAATTTTACAAAGACCTTTTTTTATTAGTAAACACAGGCCTCCACTTGGACGGCCTGGGCCTATTGGTTTTTTCGCTAGAGTTGATACCAATGTATAATTTTCGAAGAAGTTTGAGTTATAGATTGATTCTGAGGTTATCCAGGTTTCGGTAATTGCAGTAATATCCGGATCGTGCTTCGAATTAAAGACATTTAATTGTGGTATTTTATTTTTAAGTCCTTGGCTATTCCAATTTATTATTGTTAAATATTGATTATTAGAACATGATTTGCGATATTGAGTTTTCTTTCTATTGTTGATCTGTCATTTAGATAAAGTCGTTATTCCTGATGATGGGAGAAACGTATCAACATATACCAATTTTCCCGTTCTTAAACTGTAAGTTATCTTTTCTCGCTCAACTGTTAAAATATCGTTTCGTAATTTCACCTGAGGATTTTGTTTTCGTAGTTCATAAAAATTTGGTAGTAGTTTTTTACGTCTAGTTCTTGAGTTAATAGTTATATCCGGGGAGATCTGTACATTGAGCCAATCACCAAGAAGATTTTGTTGTTTTATACGTATAAATGAAGAAAAGATGAGATCTCTCGTTTGATTATTATTAAAAGTGATTCTAATTATTAGGTTTGGAGTTTTTGATAATTGAATTATCTCAAGTATATCCTTTTGAGTTATTTCTTGTAAATTTAATGTATTAGTAATAAAGTTGAGTATTTCTGCTTTTGAAATGTTTTTATGATTTGGGTAATTATACATAATTATATTGTTGTAACGATGTTCATTTGTTAACGAGTCCATTTTAAATTGTAGGAGTTCTTTATCCGTTTGTAATTTGTCTATTTCTTGCTTCAAACTATTAATCTGATCTTNTTATGTTTGAAACTGTTTGAAATTATTTTAATTTATATTTCATTCTCAAGTTTTTTCTATGTTGTAATATAATATAATCATATAATTTGAAACTATAATGATGATAATGCCAATAGATATTGTGATCCAATCTCCCTATATAATGTTTTCTTAAATGGCTTAATAAATGGCATTATTTCTGTAGATTTGTTGTTCAATACTAAACAACACATTGGATATAATTTGTACATAATCAGTAATTTCAAAAAATAAAGAAACTATTAAATTAGTTCAATTTGCAGTTTATATTTTTACTATGAAAAACAATGCAAAAACTAATGTTTGAATATGTTGGTTTGAATTAATGACAATTAATAAATTCTGATATCAGATAGAAAGCATATACAAGGTCTGTTCAAAAAGCATCGGACCTTTTTTTTCCCGCGTAAACCAATGATGCGCGAGAGGCCTCCTTCGGTGGAGTTGTGGAGGGGACAGTCATGCACAGCCCTGAATTTTTTCCCGCCTGCAGGAAGCGTCAGTCGTTGGCAATCGGCCTATGAGTGACTCCTTTGGTGGAGTTGTGGAGGGGACAGTCATGCACAGCCCTGAATTTTTTCCCGCCTGCAGGAAGCGTCAGTCGTTGGCAATTGGCCTATGAGTGAGGTCATGTAGTGCACTCTCGTAGGATTCCACTAAGCTGGTAAATGACTGAACAACGTGAGCAGCGATATTACATCAAATTTTGCCAAAAACCTTGGCGATACCCGAGTGTAAACCATTCGCAAGATTCAGCAGGCTTTCGGGATCCTCGAGGCCAAAAAAAGCGCGGCAGGTCCGCAGCAATATCAAAGGTCATGTTGACAGTTTTTTCGACTCTCGTGGGGTGGTGTGTCGTGAGTATGCACCACAAGGCCAAACCATCGCAAAGGAGTACTACCAGGAGGTCCTTCGTCATCTTTCCGATACAGTGCGACGCAAACAACCGGATCTGTGGTCGATCAAAACTTGGCAGCTCCATCGTGATAACACATCCGTCCATTCTGGGCATCTGATTCGGGCTTTCGTCGCCAAACACAATACTCCTGTGGTTCGTCA